GATAATCTCGACAGAGATGAACGAATAGTGCCATAGTGGTATATCCATAAAATATATTACGTTTATAATAATATATATCGATTTTTGTATACGAATTGCGTAGTTTTTAGAATCATTGAGCATAATTTGACGATTAACCATCACTGAAAATGGTATTATTTTATTGAAAAACGATCAAATCATAAGTGTTATTTTGTTCCACGTATGTATAGGATAATGTAAAGCATACACGGACACTTGGAATCACTTCTCGACGCTTCACTTTACGACATCGCGTCGAGTTATGTTTTGGCAGGGGGATCCACCGGACGAACCGCGGCGTCGTAAATTATTGTATTTCCCTCCACGTAAAGCAATATAATATTATAGTCACCCGTGATTCTACAGGTCTGAGGTACAAAGTACAATATCTTCTGATCAAAGTCCCACCCATGGATCAAACACTCCACAGAGATCTCTTACCCGTTCCATATACTAGTACAATAAATGTCGCAAAACTGTTACGTTTCACTTCGATGCAGCGAATCCCAGAAATCCTCCATATCGTCTAAAAACCATGTTCCTGCATCTGATAGACACCACGTAGGAAGACATCTATAAAGTAGGTAATCGATGCGGTGACCTCTCTGCAGGCGGCCCAAGCCTCCCACTCTCAAAAATGAAATTCTTTCGACCACAAAAAGAAACACAAATGGACGTGTTATTAATTATTATAGTAACATCTTATGATTTGTCGATAAATACGGTCTATGGTAAATGGTTTCGGTAACCTATTGGTAAAAATATAAATACAACCGTAGCGCACTGCAGCGGTATAGGCATATTCTGTGGACAAAATATACAATGTACCTACCTACGTACGTACTGAGCAAAGTCCGACTCTAGCGGGAAAATAAACCCGACTGAAGAACTATACACACGGAAACATAATAATATAATATTTTAAAAGTGTTAAGCGAGGATACACACATACGCAGGAATGCCGTTAAATAAAACAGCACTGACAATAAGCGAAAATGGATATGACACTCGGGCTGCATCACGTACACCCATATAATAATAATATCATATACGTATATGTACTACAGGGGGGGGGGGGTGACACTGTCATCGTCGATGATGCACAATGCCAAAACTCTCGCGGCTTCCGATCCACACTATATAATAATAATAATAATAAATACGCGTACATTATCATCATTATAATATTATTATACGACGCGATGAATATCGTGCACACGCGTACGCCGTGGCCCCTGTGCTCGTGTGTGCGTTTATCATTGTTTTCGTGTACCTATATATATCATAATAATATTATAATATATTGTCTCCGTGCTTGATATGAAAATCATATACTAATAATCATATCGGTAAAAAAACCGTCGCGCAGCCTCGGGTGGTTTTATTAAGTTTTTTTGTCCTCCTGCGATACGCATAATATATAATACCTATAAGCCGCGGTACATGCACAATAACTGTACGCCTGTGTATATATTATATAATATCAATGTGACGTACAGACAATATTGTCCGCTCGCGCGTGCGCCTGTATTATAACATTATTATTATTTTTTTATTATTATTATTATTATTGTTGTGGTGTTCGTGTCTATGATGTATACGGCCGTTATGTCTCATGTACGTATACGCGACGACCGTTTTGTCTCGTCCCAGGGTCGAGGACCTCTATCCGACGGCTCTGGCTCGCCGCCGACACCGACCGACCGTCTACGACGGCCACGACGAAATAATACGCGACGTCCATTATAATATACACTACACACATTATTATCATTATTATTATTATTATATACTTTACACGACATACTTATGCACACGCACACACACACACACACGCGCGACCCGAGGCGCTGTGTCGCTGAGCGGCTGACGCGGAAGAGGAGAGAAACGCGCACAAATCAGACGCGTTATTACTCCGAGTCATCGACGTCGGTCGTCGGCAAATTGTGTAGGTACGTGCGTGTAAAAAATATAAATAATAATAATATCTGCATAATAATATCATAACGTTCGCCCGTGTCTATACAGTAATCGGCGCGATCCGACGGTTTGCCGCAGAGGAGTGATAATAATAATTATTATCATCGTATACGATTGTCGAGGCGTCGGCGTGTATGTTATAACGTCGATTTTCGGCCAATAACAATTAGTTATTTTGTTCGGCGGCTACGGTATCATAATATATTATCGTCGTCGTCGTATTGTAATAAATTTATATCACACATGGGTACACAATTAGTAGCTGGCGTCCGTTTATTTCGCGCGACTTTCTCCGGTCTGACTCATCTCGCCCAACGGATTTCCTCGACCTCGGACGACATATTTTTGTCCGTTATAATGTACAAAATGTAATATACAACGCTTAGATATGATGTTATACTTCAAATCGGTGTCTATTAATGTTATGATATTAAGTAGAGCGGTTGCGGACCGGGAAATCGGTCGGGTCAAATATCTTGAAATCGAATAAAAACCTACACGCGATACGATCATCGGAGTACCTATGTATAATATTATATTATTATGTACGAATAACCGTCCGATCGCGGAATTTATCGTAACGGTGAAGTGACTGTTTTTTTTTTATATATATACGTAAATTAACAACTATATTGATAACTTATACTTATACCTATATTAAATTAAACTATAAAAATCGTTTTACGACGTATCGGATGATAAAACTTTTTGCGAGACCGTCGATACTATTTCAATAAAACATATTACGACACAAATAAACAACAACAACTGCATCAAAAATAAACACAAAATATACCATTTTATATATGTTTTAAAGTATAATAACAATAATAATATAGCTATATATATGAAACGAGCGGACGGTTTTCGCATCGCCAAAATTATTACTCGCTCACGTATCCCGCCCGAATCGATAAATTTAAGTACATACCTATACATATTTTATGTTGTACAGAATAATTATTAATATAATATATACGAATACTTTTGGGCAACGCGAATAAACCATTATAATATATGTACCACGCGGCCGTACAGAATTCGCAATGCACACTTATACCACTCAAGACGATACATTAAAATAACATATTATAATAGAGTATATATAGGTATATACCTACGAAACACATTTGCCTGGCACACCCTGCAATCTCTTCGCCGGTCTAGGAACTCGTCTATGATGTACCTGTACCTATACGTTTCGCATCGATCAAAAACCGAATCACGTATGATGTATAATGACGAGGTGTAGGTATAATATTATAATAGATTAATAGTGCGTATGTATACTATACGATATTGTACTCGTCTACGATAATATTATAATAATATGTGTAATACGCGGTGAGGCAACATCGGCAGATAAACGAAATAATCAAAATGTCTGCGGACCGGACGGCGGTCGGCAAATGTAATTACGCTGCGAACATCGTGTTAGGGTTTAATTTAGTGGTATATATAAAAAAAAAAAAAAATGCGCACACAAGCCTTCCCGACGTGCGCCGGGAGGCGATTTGTTTAACTTCGACGTGCACAGTCCGAAACCTCCAATTAAATAGCGACGGCCTCCGCGCACGCGGTAGTCATTATACATTATAATAATATTATCGCAGTATAGTGTTATATATAGCATTACACGCTATACGTGTCCAGGGACCATGGTATACACTAACGAGGTGTCGAAAAAAAAAATAGCACTTTGGAGGCCGACCACGGGGTTATTGAGGCGGAGAAGGAAATATTATACCGCGGTTCAGATGAGTTCTTTTTTGAGAAGAAATTTTCGCAAATTATATCTTTGGAGAGAGAAGAGAACGAAAATAGCAGAAAAAAATATGCGGGAGATCTATACGATATTCATGGCCATATTAAGAAGTATAATGGCTTAGAGGATCGCTCGTATTGTTTGTCTATAACGTATACAGACGAAAATAAAATATAGAAGTTCGATAATACGTGAATCTAATGAGAAATATCGAAATATTTCACTTTATTTACAAATCAAAATTAAAACGTACTTGTATAGTTGTATAGTTATAATATACGAGTATATATATAATATATAGGTTAGGAGAAGAATATTTTCGAAATATTTATGTCATGCCCTGCTGGGTTTTACGTTTTTCTTACATTATTTGTAATATAATATATGGAGGTACTCCTTAATACTCCTTATATTGTAATTTTTTCGTTGGAAAATACTTTATAAAAATGTATATATGACATTATCTCGGAAATATATCGTTCTCTTAGAATGTCGTCACGGGCATTTAAACCCTAACATCGACGCCCGAAATTTCTACTTTCGCAGTGGAATTTCACTATACACTACACAGGCACATACAGCAGGACATCAGACCATTACCGAAGACGAAACGAGTGCCATCAGCAGCAGACATGTCTGGGCTGCAGTGGTGCCACGCGTTGGCGTCGCCCCTGAGAAGTCCGATTCGATTACACGGTTCGGCGATCGGCCGCGATGTTGTGTTGTTGGAAAGCAAAAAAGGCTTTTGTACACATAATAATAATATGTGACTAAAGGTCTTTTTCGATTGTCTCCCCGTTACAATAGCGGCGCCTGCGAAGTGATACAGGTACCCTTTTACACGCGGGAGGTGGCATCGTGATATATATATAATAGTAATAATAACGTTCATTCATAAAAACACGAAGACATAAATCGCATGTACAGTCATATATATATATAGGCCGTGACATTGTAACATATACATACCGTGTATATTTATATACTCGTATATCAGTATATACCTATATATACACAATGCGTAGTAATGGGTTTTGGAATGCTGTTTGATGCCGTCCGATAACCCTAATGGGTGTTGTATTTTCGGCGTTTCGATTTATTATATATTATATGGGTATTATTATAGGTATAATGGCAGCTGGTATCCTGACAATATATTCTACGGATTACATTTAGGCTTATATACTATATAAGTAGGTATACTGCAGGTATACGATAAAAAAAATTAAATTACCTGTGTGTATTCTTTGGTGGGCTTTTAGGTGAGAGCTTTTCGTGTATCCTTTGTTGCAACCTAAAACCAAAACAATAGTAATCAGTACAATCGGTCATAATAAACTTTTCCCATGTCAACACGACCGTCGACCCCGTAAGCTTATACGCGATTACGCATAGGTATACGATTACATTTACAGGCGTCTATGCCGTAGCCAGGTGCGAAGAAATTGTGGGACAGTTATTATTTGTAGCCTTTTTTTTTAGAGTTTATATAAGTTTATATGGTTATTATGTCCCTTAGAAGTATTTCATACTCAGCTCTCCTACAACCTTCACTATAACTGTTTATAATTCTCAAGTTCTTCTAAGAACTCTAGTATAAGATTATTCATTTGAAAAATGATTTTTTTGTACATTTGTTCGTGTTTTAATATACCTTTGTTCAGGTTTGTGATGACTGTTGGCCCAGAAGGGTTCTCTCTTCCCAACAATTCTTTAGAAATAAAATACTTTCTCCCTCAAAAAAAAAAGTCTGCCTACGCCATAGATACGGTATCTACTACCTATACCTACAGTAAAATATTTATCTTTCTGCAACGGGCATATATGTACTTACCTCCAAAATTGCAATGATGAGTCCGTCTCCTTTCCAAGTCTGGGTTGTTTCGTCTGTTGAACTTCATAGATCTTTGGATGGCGTTGCAGCGGGGTGTGGGATACGGTGGCGGTGGCGTCCGCCGTTTACCGGGTGAACCTGGTTCGGAAATGGGAGGCGTCATGGGTGCCACGCGTGGGAAGTAACCGTGGTGGTGGTGATGCTGTTGGTGATGGTGATCGTGGTGGTGATAGTGCACATGCAGATAAGACGGCGTGTAAAGCCCCGGGCTGGCCACCGACTGGTACTCGGGACTGTTGGCTTCCGGTGCTTCCACTTTGACGTGGGTCACCTGCAGCGATTGGTCGTCGAGCGTGGAGAACATTTGCGGGTCCACCACCTCGTTCATCTCGAACCACGGGGGCTCTTGAGATTCGTCAGGGTGATGGCCGTTCTGAAGGATCGAGTCCTGCACGTTCCGCGCACCCGGCATGGTCGTCTCGAAGAAGTCGCACAAGACCGGCTCATTTCTGGACTTGATGATGTGTTGGTCTTCTACCATCAGTCCTTGCAGCATCGAATCGAAGTCGGGTGTCTAAAATAATAGAAAAATTATTATTATTAAAAAAAATATCCATTTACAATACGTCGGTATAAAGTATAAACATCACATAACGTATTTTAAATAATTGTATATGTTAATAGCTATAGAATATCCAATAACATTATATAATATATAATATACCTATAAATAATATCTATAATATATAACTGTAAAAGTTTTGAAATTAGTCGGCAGATAATGATGATCCTATATTTTAACTCTATAGGAACGCGCGTGTTTAACAATAAACAATAATAAATGTTTGGAAACATATAACGTTATTAAATGCGTTCCTTATATATTATTATACCCGGAGCTATATTTAGTTTTATGTAATAGTAAGTGTTTAATAAAGCGGTACATAACTATATAATACAAAATATATACCTGTAATGAGTATAGGACAAGAGGTATATGTATGGTATTAATGTCAAGATAAAAATCACCTAATAATAATAATAAAACTTTTTAGATTGTTATTGGCCATTAACCATATGATATTCCAATCCGTTTACAAAAAATAACGATATATTATTATAATACGTTCGAGCGGCGTTACTGGCGTTAAAGTCTCTTCCGTCGAAAAATACAATAATAATAATATAATATTATAATAACTCATTGAACAAATAATCAAATTAAACGTCGTCTTTCGTTTATTGGGTATATATATTATTTATATACAATATATAAGTAAATTATATACATGTTATGTGTTATGTGTATATAATATATAAATAGTATATGCACTTTTTACATGAACATAATATATATATATATATATATTATAAACACACACACACACACACAACAATAACCACTCTCGAGTATTATACTATATATATATACAAGTTTATCTACTGGTTTCGTTACGTTCAGATTTTATAGGTCTATGTGGCGATATAAACTGAAACCGAACGTATATTATAATAATATATATAAAGGTACGTACGTGTTAAAATAGAAAAACACGGAAATGGTTTTTGGCAACGCATAGGTCTCCAATATCTATGTATACACACCACACACACACACACACACACCTGATGACGACTACGACTACGACCGGATCGTGGCGAGCGTGGGCTGTGTCTTAATGGGCTCCGGATATGTTTATGGCAACGGCAGGAAAACCGAGACACATGGTCGTAAATACGACGCGGTATTTCGGCAATCTAGCATTGAGGGTATATACGCGAGAGTATTATATTTCAAATCTTTTTTATTTCATTTTTTTTCTTTCTATTAATCACTCGTGGACGTGTACTGCAGAATAACACGGCCAGGGTATATCATTTATATTATATATACATATATATTATTTTTACATGTGTATTTGCATCGCTCGAGTGTATTATTTTATATAGGCGTATATATAAGTGAAATATAATAAATACGCGTTCGGACTTATTGCAATAATATAATATATAATATTATACACTGCAAAGCTTTCCAGGCATGTATCGTTTCGTTGAAAAAGTTTTATTTTCGTTTGCGCCAATAAATCAATATTATATATTTTGCCTTAGATTTATTACGTCTCACCCGTATGCGTTGTCGCCGTAGTCGTACAAGTGCGAAAGACATAAAATATAAATTTCAAATTTCGAACGAGTAGTTCAAATATTTTAAGTAAGTATTTAATGTTTTCACTAGTGGAGTGAAGTGGCACGAGGCTACCCCCCAAAATGTGTTCATCCGCAGTGGCGCCCAAGATATATTTTTTAGATGTAGCAAGAAAACATTTTACCCACCCACCCACCCCCTCAAAACTCAAAATTATATTATTTAATACATTTTATCATATTTGTATTGATAATATTAGTAAATATTGAGATATCAACCAATATAATCTGTGATTAATTATGAACATATTTCAAGTTTATTATTTTTTGTTATTATACCCATCCACCCCTTATTTTCAAGGTGTAGCGACCGCTACACTTAGAAATAGGGTTGGGCGCCACTGTTCATCCATATCCACTCATCTATATACTTTAAGTACCTACCTATACTATTATAATACAGTGAGTTACAACTAATTAATAACTATAAGCTAGTTCGAAATTTGAATTTTATGTATCTAAATACTCTGAAAAATATTCTGTTTCAGAATATAACGTATCTACAATATGACAAATATGTACCTATATCGGTCGGTTTAAAATACGAATATGGTCACCCATATTGTTCAACTGCGGTTAGTAATGATGGTGACATATTTCGTGAACTGCAGAATAAAACGAGATTTTATATCAAAGGTTTGCACTGCGATGAAGTGCTGAAAATATAAACTAGCACGTTATTATTCTTAGAACTATTGACGTGTGACAATATGTATATTATATATTATCCATCATTGCGTACGGCGTGTGAATATAATAACTATTATGTGTATATATATTTTATAATATATTCACTGACACGAGATCATCACATTACGGTTTGGTTTGATTTGTCGTTACAATAATAATTGTTCGCCTCTATTGCGTACGTACATATTACATGTGTATTAAAATCATGCTGCAGCATACATCCCAAGATCGTATTATATAAATACTTTTAAATGTAGCTGACCAAGTTGTTCGCCTGCACTCTTTCCGCTTTTCCTAATCGTCGTACGATGAACGCTGCATGCAGACGTCGTTATTATAATATATATTATATTACTACCGCGAATCGGTGTAATTAGGCATATCATAATAATATAACGTATCCACATCTATAATATAATATGCCCGACCATCTGGTCTGCCACTGCTGCTGCTGCTGCAGTGTTATGCAAGACTTAAGCATTGTGAAATAATTATAACACGAACTGAGTTGTGTTTTCGGATGTATATAATATGATAATGTAATAATTTTTTAGGCATCACTCGAACTATGCAAGACACCCACACTCAAACGGACGTGGTGACGGAAACAACTATAATGCGCGTATGACGTCAGCTCTGCGAAAAACAATTATTTCGTATAACATATTATACAAACACAATATCAGATAATATATAATAATATTTTATACTATAACTAGCGCGACGATTTCGCCTAGTCGTCATAGGCTATATCTAGCTATTGCCGATTACTACCATAGATATTAAAGAATGGATAGGCAATGGCTACATTAATAAAATAGGGTGTCTTGTGCCGAAACGAGGAAGAGAGAAAGACCTAACCTCTCATTCTGGCAGAGCTCTTATCATAAATTATATACAGTAATTATATATATATTTATTTGTGTTAAGACTTCTATAGAACCACAAAATATTTGCATGTTCGTTCCCGTATATGATAAGCACAAATGGCCTATCCGTTCTTTAATATCTATGATTACTATATCGTTTTATAAACGTAATATCGATTGACGAAACATGTGTGATGATGAGTGATGACTATATTTGGTTACATATTATATTAATTTATCCAATCGAATGCGTCTAGTAATCGGCTAGTCATATACGTACCAAATATGACATATTAATTCTTAACTAAACTTGGAATATTGCGAGAAGAAGACTCGTCGTATATTGTATAATGAGTAGGTATTGTATACAAAGCGCATAGCGTGCGTATAATGTATATATTATCATATATATGTATATCGGCGCAATAATATAAGTCATTCATTATACCTATTCAGCTGTGTTATTCAGATATGGAAATCATAATTTGTCGTCGAAATCGTCGGAAAATACCAACGAATATTATAATATTGTAATTTGTAATGTTTGTAATATAACGGACGTAAGTAATACACGACTATAATAATAAAATGTGTAAAACGATATAATAATAACAACAGTATAATTACACATTATTTTATTACCTATATAAATATATAATATTATATGCTATACATCGCGCACTTATTACGATATTATCTTTCGTCATTATCGGTGTATATAGGTATAATTACACAAACTTTGTGGTTTTTTATTTATTGTGTTTGCTTTACTATTTGTGCTCGATGCTGCTGCTATATATTAATATATATATATACACGGCTACAGGTAGGTATGTAAGAGAGTTAATAATATAATTCTGTTTGATTAAGAATAAACATATTATCTTGTACCGCGCGCATAATATAACATACTAATATATATATATATTATATGTGTATTATATTATGAGATACGCTCGTGTGTACTTGTCCTAGTCGATAAATCTATCGGCCCCGCTGAGAAATACGTTCGAATGTCTATACGACGGCGTTGGTATAAAATAATATAACCTGAACTTGGCACGGGACATAATTTATCTAGCGTAATAATTTTCCTACGACGCACACTGCTGCGGTAATTTTACAATGCCCACGATGTGTATACATAGGTAGGTAATATAAATGCGTCGTCGAACAATAGTTCTATTTGAACACACACACACACACACACACACACACACACACATATATATATATATATATATATAATGCGTGCAGGGGTGCGAGCAAACATATTTTGCGACGGTTGTTGGTATATTACAGTAAGTATAATATATTACCCTTTTCTCGGTGTATTACCTACCGCATCATCTTCAAGCGCATTGTACGAGATAATTTAGTGGAGGACGATAACTCGTTTTTGCTTCGATCCTCCTCGTTGCGAGTGTCCCGTATTTAAATAATTCGACGAAAAAAAAAAATATATCATGAATTCACAAGTCTTATATTATACGATAATATAATATACCTACGCAGGGCGATTCACCGACCATGCTCCAGCTGATTTTTCCCTTTACTATGAATAGTATTGAAGAAATCTATGAAAATGTACTTTTGTATTTCCAATGATATGGTTTATTGAGCGGTTTGAGAGTAAAAACAAGTATTGTCAATATTGTAGACGAGAAGTTAATCTGTGCCTGTATAGAAGTAAATTTTTGATATTTGTAATTACTAAACTCAATAATTCAAATTCAAAAAGTAAAATATCACAAGTTTCAGAGTTAAATATTGGACATTGAAAATAAAATATCGAAAATCGACTCCT